GTCCGGACAGCCTCCGGCAAGGGTGACGGGTGCTGCTTGCAGGGACGGCAGCACCCACCACCCCACGGGGGGACCAGCTGAGAGCCGGGGCGCGTGCGCCAGGTACCAGGCCACCGTCCCCAAGGGCTTGTAGCAGTCTGAGGTGCCGGTAGAGATTTTTGTGCCCATGGGGCCGAGCAGAACGGATGTCCTCGTTACGGTTATTTTTTGCTCTGAGTCGCTCCAATGGGATATTTATAACAATAGCAAAAAAGAGCCCTTTTTTCTCTAAAATTGATGTGGAATCTTGTAGCCCCGTGTCTTTTCCTCCTCCGTGGGTTGTTTTTTTTTAAACGACATCTCTGCAAAGGATGTGCGTCCGGCAGCGGAGCTTGACGGCACGGCCTCCGTCCTGAGAAACGCAAACCGTCCGCGTGTTTTGAACATTGTTTTTTGGGTTGTTTTTTTTCTTTTTTTCCAGAGAGAATTTGTGCTTTTACTTGTCAGACCTGAGGAATAAAACCCAGTCGATGTTCTTAGCCTCTGCTTGTCTCGGCTGAGCCCGGCGGGGCGGGCGCAGGGCTGCGGGAGGGTGGCGGGGAGGAGGGGGGATGCCACCATGTGCCACCTCCTAGCCCAGCACGGGGTGCTCCCCATGGGGGGAAGGAGAAGAGAGATGTGTGGGGATCCATTGCACTGATGGGCGGCCGAAGCATTTGCTTCAGCCTTTTCTGCAGCCTGTGAATGCAGAGTCCTGGCTAACACTGTGCCATGGAGGCACCGAGCCCAGCGAGGACCGCGGGCTCATCCTTTCCTCTCCCTCTTGAGAGGTTGCAAATGTTTTTCCTGCTTGGGGATGCTAAATCAGCCTCTGAGCTGGGAAAGTCGGGTTTGCACCATCCCCATTTCCATCTCACCCTGCCAGTTCCCCACCAGCAGCTCCACAGGGAAGCACTTCCCAGCTAATTCCGCAGCGGAGGTACCGGCAAATGGTTTCTGCTGGGCTCTGGACACAGCCTTAAAACCATTCCCGGGGGCGAAGCACCGGGTAAGATTTGTTAACACGCGGCAAAGCAGAGGTGCCGATGGGCGGCAGGAGTTTTTCCATCGATCTGTGCGGCACCTGGACCGGGCACCCGGTTTTCCATGTCACCAGGACCTCGGAGTTAAAAATACAACCTCACATGCTCCGCAACGGCTCATTCAGGATGCGGTTACCAACAACAGCCCATCACGTGCTGTAAACCCCGGCCCCGGCATTCGGGGGCCACGATGGTACCCACACTCCAGGTCACGGAGGGGAACCCAGGGGCTCTCACCCGGGTTTTATATATTATTTTTAACAGTTGTTAACGGAGCCTGGACCCCCAGGTGGTGCACAACACCCCCATGCCTGTCAGTGGGAGCCAGCCCCGGGCTCAGCCACAACAGCTCTGCCAGGCGCGGCTGTGAGCACAGCAATTTTTATGAATAAAATATAATCCTCGAAATGTAATACCGACACCAGGATGGAAAGCAAAAAAGTCATGAGTCACAGCTCCAGCCCTGTGTCCTTGTGCCACTTGGAGCACGCCCACAAGCGTCATGCCCCATGGGTGACACCTCTCCAGCACAAACCGTCCCTCCTCTTCCTCACCCCTTCAAAGAATTATTTTTTCAGACTTTTGAAAAAAACATCCCCAGCCCCGCAGGCTCCCCAGGCCCAACCCCAATTTTGTCCCCAGTGCCCCATCCCCTCAATGCACTTTTCACGGGAAGGACCCCAGGGGAAGCACGTGTGTCCCTGGGGCGACCCTCAGGCTCCAGCACCCCGGGAGCGAGCGGCTGGATGCAGCAACACAGCAGCCCTGACCGTGCACGTCACGAGTGGCAGAGGACGGCTGCCCCGAGCAGGGCTGCAGGCACAGGGGACCAGCTGTGGCTCTGCAGGGGGCTGTGGGGGGGAATTAGCTGCAGCTGAGCCCCTCTCCCACCCCAGGGTATTTGGGGAGGTCCCCAGGCTGCAGTTGCACCAGTGCTAAGGCAAAGGCAGCTCCAGGCTCAGCTCTGAGGCTGCGGCAGTCAGATGATGGCTCCCAGCTTTCTCTCCTGCTGATCCTACAGTTTGGGAGAAGACGTTCTTTATTCTTTAGTCACCTTCTGTTTTATTTGATGCTGCTTTCTGATGAATTCCTTAATAATGTCTTATGAAGACTGTTGTAAGATGCATTAGCAATAATTTCTTAGTGGCTGAGGTTGGCATCGGCAATTAGCACTGAGGACCTCTTACACAGGCAGCGTGCTTGGACCAGTGCAGCCAGTGGCTTCTCAAGCTGTTGGATTGTCTGGAGTATCATCTACTAATGAAATAATCGTAAGTGGAGATCTGCTTTTTTTGTTTGTGGTTTTTTTTTTTTTTTAAATATGACCTGATTATGAAGGAGGTTTTAAAAAAAAAAAGTAATCCCTATTAGTGTTAGTGTAAATGGAAAAACAAGTGTGGAAATGCTGGGGCATTTCTGCATCAGCATCTCCCCCTGTGTCTCAGGAAGATGGGGTGGGAAATGTGTGTTTCTGGAGTACCGGGATGCTGCAGAGCTGGGGCCAGCGGGGAGCGGGAGCTATTTGCTCATCCCCAGCCTGCATGTGAGGTAATGGACCTGATTATTGAAGTGAAGGAGGTTTTAAAAAAAAAAAGTAATCCCTATTAGTGTTTCTGCAAATGGAAAAACAAGTGTGGAAATGCTGGGGCATTTCTGCATCAGCATCTCCCCCTGTGTCTCAGGAAGATGGGGTGGGAAATGTGTGTTTCTGGAGTACCGGGATGCTGCAGAGCTGGGGCCAGCGGGGAGCGGGAGCTATTTGCTCATCCCCAGCCTGCATGTGAGGTAATGGCTTGAAGCCATTAGACCCATAACACAATGCCATAATGGCCACTCCACCAATTACATTACATTTCATGGGTTTATAGCAATTAACTATGTCGGGTGGTGTCATAACACATTACGGTTTATAGCTTAATATCGGCTCTAACAGGGAGACGCTGTGTGCAGGATGGGGCTGTTGGCGAGCATCCTCCGGGTGGGGAGGAGCGGGCTTCCCACGGGGGGCTCGGCAGGGACCGAGACCCCAGGGGCTATGCATTTTGGGACCCCTCTGACAGACGGGAGAAGGGGCAGGATTGTGTTTACCAGCAATTCACCTTGCATGCGGCACCCTGGCCACAGCAGCACCTCTCCACTGGCCCTGCCCGGATCACTCCGGGAGGCCAGTGCTCCCTTATTTCTCCTTCTGGAGCGACGTTAGACTTATCAATATGCACCTCATTCAAAGCCAAATGATTTTTACTGCTGAAGGAGGTGAAGGAGCCATCCTAGTCAGGCCTTTCAAATCCTGCTCTCAGAGCAATGCTGATGCTGCCGGCATGGGGCTGTGCCCCCGGCCAGGGAAGGGAGAGGAGCAGAGGTTTGAAAGATTTTATTTTTTTTCTTTCTAAGAAGTCAGTTCTGATAAAATACATAATGACATCTGAAAGGGGCTGGTGTAATTAAGCAGTCGGACGCTGGGCAATTTGCATTAGGCTCTTTGTTGCCACCGGTGCCAGCACGTGCCTCGCTGCCTGGGCAGCAGCCGGAGCAAGGAGCATGAAAGATTTTGGTTTTTTTTTTCTTTCTAAGAAGTCACATCTGAAAGGGGCTGGTGTAATTAAGCAGTCGGATGCTGGGCAATTTGCATTAGGCTCTTTGTTGCCACTGGTGCCAGCACGTGCCTCGCTGCCTGGGCAGCAGCCGGAGCAAGGAGCATGAGGAGTGTGCCTGCTCCAGGGAGAGGAGATGCTGGGGTCGGGGCTGAGCTTGGAAATCCAGCAGCTCTTGATGTATCTCAGGACCATGAGCTTGCAAGCTTGGCTTTAAGCCCTGGCAAAGCTCTCCTGGGCAGCTGGAGGGAAATGCGGTTGGTTCATGCTGCCTCTATGTTTTGGGAAAGATTTTTCTAGCTTCTTTGCAGTGGCGATCCCTCCTGTAGCACAAGCGGGTGATTCCCGGTGCTGCAGACACAGAGGTGGGGTGGGATGGGCTGATGCGGAGTGCTCGGGGCTGGGAATGCGACGCCATGAGATAAGGGGACTGCATCATGGGAAACCGGCCTCTGGGGACCTGCTGCCCGAAGCAGCCGCTGCAGATGAGCCGAAGGACGCGGAGAGATAAGGATAAGGTCACCCAAGCCCTGGGAGAACTCGCTGGGCAGCTCAGCGGCAGGAGGCTTGGTTTGCAGGAGGCTAAATAAACCTTTTGGCCATGTCCTGCCATTTGCCCTGAGCTGCCGAGGAAGCCGCAGGGGCTCTGTGACCACTGCCGGCCCTCGGCAAGGCAGGGGCATGGGCCAGCGGGGCCAAGCAGTTTCTGAGCGCCGGTTTACACCCTGCCGGGGCCAGGCTGGGCGAGCACGTGGCTCCTCGCAGGGCACCAGCTCCCGGCCTGTCCCAGAGGATTTGTTTTCCTAAAATGGAAGCAAAAGCTGAATTGATTTATTTTGTTTGGCAGCATGCGGAGCAGGGTAAATAATCCACAGGAAGCTCCAGAGCTGTCCAGATATACCAGGCATCTCCAGAGGCCCGGTTTCTTCTCCTAGAAGAACTGGGTTGGTCTTTTTTTCTGACTCCCCAGCTTCTGTGGCAGGAGCCGGCCCATGCCTGGGCAGAGCCGTGGCCAACGGACGGCACAGCAGCTCCCAAAGCTGTGTCTGGCTCTGCTCTGGGCAAGCACAGCTCTTGCATCCACGTGTGCCCATGGCTCAGGACACGCTTGCTGGCTCACCCCGCAGAGATACACTTGATGTCTCTTGTTTGCTCCTGGCACACTGTTAGATCGTGCTGCAGGGTCCTCAGGTGGCTACAGAGACCCTTTTGTTGCCTGATGGGGACGTTTGTGCTTTCCAGCCACTCTGGGAGCCTCTCTGCACCACTCTGAGCCCTGCACGTGCAGGAGCTCAGCCTATTTTCCTCCAGCAGCCTCTTCCTTGGTCCCCCCGTGCTGCAGTCCTCCCCTCGGCCCCTCCAGGCGATGTGCAGCTCTCCAGGCTCTCGCTTGGCAGCTGGTTCTTATTCCTGCAGATTATCTAATCTGGGTTTGCATGGGGGGTTGATATAACACTTCTGGGTGTTTTTCCTCTGCAGAGCATCCCCGGCTCCCCAAGGGCTTCTCACTATTTCTCAGACAATCTCGGGCCCCTTCAGTACAAGCCAGTCCCTTTTCCCCCAGAGAATATCCCGTAACCATCCAGGTGTTTCTCTGCTAAAGTCGAGGTCATTTGGGGTTTTTCATGTTTCTCTTTGGCAGTTTCTCTTTCTGTTGGAGATTTTGCTTTTTTGCAGTTTTGGTCTCTACTTGCAAAGCAGATCTCATCTGCTTTATTTTGGATGTCTCCAAAGAGAAGACTTTGCCACACGATGGCCGTGGGGACAGAGAAGCAAAAACTTTCTTTTTCTCTAATGAAAGAACCCGATGTCATAGAAATAACCCGCCCTGGCTGACCAGACTGCCTTTCTGTCTCTTTTAAATCGAAGGCCGGGAAGTTCAGCAGGAGCTCCTGGCTATGAACCAGCACACAGCCACCCCGGAGCAGACCAAGAAGTTCCCGAAGCTTTGCTCATCCCAGCAGAGAGAAGGGGAGGAGAGACCTCCATAGATAAAGCAATGCTGGTGGGGCATTATGGCATCGTGTTTTGGACGCTTCTGCCCGTACCTATCTCGGGAGGGGACTGGGTGTGCTTTGAGACTTAAGCCCAGTGACCCCCACCAGCAGCACAGACCCTCCCGGGTGGACAATGTGTGTGACCCTGGTGTTAAGCATCACTAACCCCTTCATGGAGCCACAGCTGCCTCCAGGCACTGTGACATCTCATAGCCAACGAATTCCTCCCTCGAATAATGAGCTGTAGCCAGGGGGAAGGAGACTTTTCTCCTATTTGTTTTCTTTTGTTAGTCTTTAAACCCAGTTGTAAATGCTGCTGGTAATTAAGGGCTGTCTTGCCATTTGGGTGACATGCTGAAGTGCAACCTCCTGCTCCCAGCCAGATGCTCCACAGCAAACCCATCCTGGAGGAGAGGCAAATTTTGTCTTAATTTTCTTCTTTCGTATTGCAACAAAAAGCTTCCTATCCGAAGCAGCCTTGGAAACCTCTCTTTATTAAAAGACCTCCTTGAAATGTATTATAGCAGCTGAGGAGGGTGGTTATGAAGCACAAAAAGCCTGCAGAAGAGCTCATTAAAACAATAAATTACAACTAATTAGAATAAATCAAGCTAAATCATCTCCAGTGTGAAGGTAAAATGAGGTGTGAGTGAGTGTTTTTTAATAAGGCTGGTGCTAATCCCAGGCTCGTCTTTAAAGTGACGGCGAGTCCTGCTGCAGCAGTGACCCTACTGCTGGGACCGGGGCAGAAAACAGACCCAGACAAAGGCGAGGGGAAAGCGGAGCTAATGGGATTTTTAATTGTTGCCCAATCTGAGCTGCCTGTCCCTAATTGCAGTGGGTTTGGGGGTAGTGCAGCATCCGCAGTGGCTCTCAGAGGGGCAGGCACAGGTCGAGGCACTTGGTTTTGCTCACTTTGGGTTTTTTTCCTCTTTAATTTGCGATGCACAAAGTGGCTGTGGGGTTTTGTTCCTCTCTGTCATATCACTTCATCACGCGCAGCCACAGCTAAATGACTTCTCTGCATAATTAGCAGTGAGATCATCGCGACCGCCTTGGCTCAGAGTCACTTCTCCTTTGGTCTCCAAAAAGCTGTTCAAAACAAGGGAGAGGAGGGAGGTGTGGGGGGAGGCAGCGGGACGGGTGCCCTGCCTGCGCTCAGGCAGCCCCAGAGATGGGTGCTGGAGGGGGACACCTCAGGGACACTTTGGACCCCTGCTCCTGCACCAGCTAAGGGAGGTTTGGGAGATCTCGCTGTACTCTTGATGACATTAGCACTTGAGCCAAAGGTCCCAGGGAGCAAAGACCAGCAGCACCAGTCTGACCCATGCCGAAGATAGGGCTCGCTGCCAGCGGGGCGCTGGGGAAGACCTCCCGCAATGTGTTAAACTCCCATGTAGGACATTGTTGACCAGAAGGTCTTTGAGCTGCCAAAGCGAAAGGTTTCCTGCTGAAATGAGTGAATCGCTTCCGAAAGCACCTGGAAGTGGGCTCAGCTCTTGGGAACGCGGATCCCAGAGCCAGCATGGGTGCTGGCGTGATGGCCAGGGTCAGCAGCGATGCTGCTGAGACACCATGGCTTGAGCCTTCCCAGCTGCTGCTTCCCTCCAAGGGATGAGCACTACTGCCGGTGCTGGAGAAATGTATTAGTTTCATTAAGCTTAAATGATTAGCTCCAGGCCTTGATAATGATACTTAATGGATCTAATATTTTTTTGGCGATTATGCTGTTGTATATAGTGGTGTATATCATTAATAACCTTCTTTAAACCTCCTTGCTTTCACTGTTACTAATTGTGTTCAAGCCCTTCTTATTCCTAAGCTCAATTAGCTGCCTATAAAGAGGCTTTGCCCCACGAAGAATGCCTGGCTGTGCTGGGAGGCAGATCCTGATGTCTTGGGTTACTGGCCAGGAGGATGCTTGGATTTGGCTGCAGGAGCCACAGGCCAGACCCCGCAGG